GTATGAAGATGAATAAAGGTGTATGAAGATGAATGGAGGTTTATGAAGGTGAATGAAGGTGTATGAAGGTAAATAAAGATGTATGAAGGTGAATGGAGGTGTATGAAGGTGAGTGAAGGTGGATGAAGGTGGATGAAGGTGTATGAAGGTGAATGAAGGTGTATGAAGGTGAATAGAGGTGTATGAAGGTGAATGAAGGTGTATGAAGGTGAATAACGGTGAACGAATGTGTATGAAGGTGGATGAAGGTAATAAAAGGTGTATGAAGGTATATGAGAAGGAATGAAGTTGTATGAAGATGGATGAAGTTGGATGAAGGTGAATCAAGGTGTATATATGAAGGTGAATGGAGCAGTAGAATGAAAGTGAATGGAGGTGAATGAAGGCGAATGAAGGTGTTTGAAGGTGGATAGAGGTGTATGAAGGTGAGTGAAGGTATATAAAGGTGGATGAAGTTGTATGAAGGTGAATAAAGGTGTATGAAGGTGTATGAAGGTGAATGAAGGTAGATGAAGGTAATAAAAGGTATATGAAGGTGGATGAAGGTGAATCAAGGTGTATGAAGGTATGTGAAGGTGAATGGAGGTGAATGAAGGCGAATGAAGGTGTATGATGGTGCATGAAGGCGTATGAAGGTGAATGGTGGTGAATGAAGGTATGAAGGTGTATGAAGGTGAATGAAGGTGTACGAAGGTGAATGAAGGTTTATGAAGGTGAATAAAGGTGAATAAAGGTGGATGAACGTGAATGAAGGTCTGTGAAGGTGGATGAAGGTGTATGAAGGCCTATGAAGGTGGATGAAGGTAAATGACGGTCTATCAAGGTGGATAAAGGACGCTGAAGGTGAATGAAAGTGAATAAAGGTGGATGAAGGTCTATGAAGGTCTGTGAAGGTGGATGAAGGTGTATGAAGGCCTATGAAGGTGGATGAAGGTGAATGAATTTCTATCAAGGTGGATGAAGGTCTATGAAGGTGAATGAAGGATAATGAAGGTGGATGAAGGTCTACGAAGGTGGATGAAGGTAAATGAAGGTTAATGACGGTCAATGAAGGTCTGTGAAGGTGGATGAAGGTGAATGAAGGGGTATGAAGGTGTACGAAGGTGAATGAAGGTGAATGAAGGTGTATGAAGTTGAATGAAGGTGAATGAAGGTGATTGAAGGTGGATGACGGTGAATAAAGGTGTATCAAGGTGTACGAAGTTCTATGAAGGTAAATGAAGGTGTATGAAGGTTTATGAGGGTGTATGAAGGTGGATGAAGGTGGATGACGGTGTACGAAGGTGTACGAAGGTGTACGAAGGTGTACGAAGGTGAATTAAGGTGTATGAAAGTGGATGAAGGTGAATTAAGGTGTATGTAAGGTGTATGAAGGTGAATTAAAGTGTATGAAGGTCGATGAAGGTGTACGAAGGTGAATGAAGGTCTATGAACGTGTATATCAGTGAATGAAGGTGTATGGACGAACATGAAAGGTGGTGAAAGTATACGATGTAAGCAAGTCTGTCAGCATATATAGTTTTGGTCAGCGGTTTATTAGGCTCGGAGCCATTCCTGCAATTAACGTCAAGTACTCCTATCATCAGCCGCCATCTTAGATCACATAGTAAATTCTTGGGATACTTCGTCATGTTAAAATACGTGAGATATCCCTCTCTTATTACCAGGCCTTTCCATTTCTCAGTTGCAAGTCGATTTCTCGATCATAGCGGTAGGTGTTCTGGATCGTCAATCTCTGGACGATCGTTTCCAGACACCAATCTTTTTTTCGACCATAGCAATCGTAAGTCTTTGTATGTAATCGCTTTTTGGACCATAGCGACCATCGTTCTCAATCAGCAATCGATAATCTCAACCATAGCGATCGACAATCTCAATCACCAATCGATAATCTCAATTACAGCGATCGACATTTTCAATCACCAATCGATAAACTCAACCATAGCGATCGATATCTTGATCACCAGTCGTGAACTCATACCACTTTTGACTGATATGGCCTCCCATAAATTTACTTTTATTAATTGATAACAAGTTTTGAACTGTTTAAATACAACGTTAATTTAATATAAATAGGTAAGCTTTTTACTATAGTTCAAATTTATCCTTTTGTTGCAATACCTTGGGTATCAAAAAGCGTGCCATGACCCAACGGCGGTATAACTTTTGTCATGGTTGTATACGAACAAGGAACATAACATACTAAAATCTATATAATGATAACTAAAAACACAATGGCTGAAAAATCGAAGTAGTTCTTGCTCCGTTGTTTCGACAATTAATACATTAAACAACGGTTGGAGTAACATTGGTTTCAGTTCGTTCTAACTACGCGGAAATAAAATAACCTTAGAGCGTCCAAGAGGCAAACAAGGGCACGCCCTTCAAGAAATGCGGCATCAATTAAATATATAAACATTGAACTGAACGTGCAATGGGTTAGGTAAACAGCGGCAAAAATTGAGCCGTGTCACAACCGCTTTCAAAATGAATGAAGTTTGTCATACTGCGTTCGAGGCGCTCCACAAATCGTTTTATCGACAAAATTCGTTCAACTTGGTCTAATATGTAGTACAGAGTGGCCACTCCGAGCCTTTTCGTGTCACTCCTCATGTCTATAGAACATACACCTGCTGCAATGACTAGGCATCGAGAGTAACATCTGCCGCGGGTAGCGCCAGGAACTGCAGTGGTCCCGTTGATAGCAGCCGAAACTACAATTGTTCCTTGTCAACAAACTCTGAAAGCATCTTGCCACTTTCAAAAGTGTCTGGAAGAGTGCTCTAACAAAAAAACCTAAACATTAACAACTACACAATACCAGTGACCTCAGGTTCTAACTATTTAAACTCCGCGCCCCTCAGTTAAAATTACCTGAACAAAAACTCTCCAATCATTAAATAGGTTAGCTTCTAAGTAATGATCAAGATAACGATTGTCAGGGTACCCCAAAATACCGTTCAATAACTGGACTAGTAGTCCAGTTTTGGCCCTCTGTCATGCAACGCCACGCTCTCGGGGGACGGTCCTCTCCCGAGGGCGTAGCGTTGCGTGACAGCGAGAGGGCCAGAACTGGACAACTCGACTAGTTGTCAACGTTTGCACGAAATTACTGGGGCTGGGTAGCGCATGCAGTGCTTTCTTTTCCGTGGGCAAACAACCTGATATTATATATTCTATATTTTCGTCGCATGCAAGTTGTTTTTTTCTTCGCTCGTAAACCGCTGGCAACTGTGGTAAGTGCTACAAACAAAACATGGTACAAGCATCGTCCTGCACTAATCCCGCAGTATTCGCGTAAAAAAAGTTATAAAAGTTAAATAACTTTCTGTAAAACCTAAAAAAGTATTGCGCTATTCTATACAGGTATCAAAATATTTTCTCTATATTTTAAGTCCCTTTGTTTTCTGGTAGGCTTCTAGCTTTTGAGGTCCTTCCTGGACGTTTTATCATGTCGCAGCGCGTGAGAACCTTCTCGCAGGCTCATGTTTGAGCAGCTAAATGCGTTATAAGCGATGCGCAGCTGCGAAGTGAAACGCAAGGAAACTCAACCGAGTCTACAGCCTTCCACTCAAAGCCAAACACGGACTATCGCGATGCTAGCTAATGGTGACAACTACGGTCTATCGTATCACCATGGAACTAAGATCTTTGTGACAACTGTCCTCGCTGGTGTTTTCTCCACTATCACTGTACACACTGACGTCATCATACAGAGGATTGTAGTAGTCTTCTTCTACGTCATCGTCTAATCCCATTGCCGCTAGCACGTCATAGTAAGGGTTGTCAAAGGCCAGCAAGTAGCCCGTGTTGCGACCAATCCACGGTTGAAGCTCAAACTCGGCTTGCTCTTTATTGCTCTTCTTGTATGCGGCGAATCCACATTTCCGTTTGTACCTACGGCGTATGAGCGCGAACAAAGCTACTATGACCAGTATAAGGAAGAAGCCTACAAAAAGACAAGCATGAAACATTACGTAAGTCAATTGATCAACCAATCAATCA